CTCCTACAGCCCAAGCGCTATATCGCTGCAGCGTGCAGCCCGATCCATATATCACTGTGGCGTGCAACCCGATCCATACACATGTAAATATCGCTGCGGCGTGCAGCCTGACCCATAAATATATATATAATCCTCACCATCCGGCCCTCCTCTCTCAGTCATCAACACCACTCGGGCATTTCAGTGAAAACACAGGGAGCTCGGTCCAAACAACTTTCAAGTATTTTAAAACACAGTAATAAAACTAAATCAAAAGTAAACAGGTAGAAATCATGACTGAGGATATGCTTTCGAATCAAAACAGTGTGAGGAAAGTAGTAAAATACCCCTGAGGGTTCAAACAGTTTGGCACAAGCCCCCAAACATGGCGTTTAGCCCAAATTAACAGATTCATTTCTAAAACACATAGATATCATATAGAGTTGATAAAAATAAGCAACTCTACAGTTACTACGAGACGGACCAAGTCACAATCCTTTCCGGTGCACGCCCACACGCCCGTCGCCTAGCATATGTGTCACCTCATTTATCAAAACAGTACGAAATTCCGGGGTTTCATACCCTCGGGTCTAGATTTACAATCGTTACTTACCTCAAACCAGATGAAGACCTACTCCGCGATGCCTTTGCCACTCGACTTGGCCTCAAATTGCCCCGAATCTATCCAAAATCATAATCACAACATCAATATATGCCAAAGGAATAAAGCCCACGCGAAAATAATCAAATTACATCAATAATCCCGAAATTGGCCAAACCCGACCCCCGGGCCCACATCTCAGAATTCGATAAAAATCACATCACTAGAATCCTTATCCTCCCACGAGTCTATATATACTAAGATCATCAAAATCGGACCTCAAATGGTCCCTCAAATACCCAATTTAAACTCTCCAATTTCAAGCCCTAATTCTCCAATTTTAACCTTTAAGTTCCATTAATTTCATGTCTAATCAGTTAGTTATCACCATAGAATCGAGTATTGAGTTCAAAAACCTTACCTCCAATCAAACCCTTCGAATCCCTCTTCAAATCCTCTCAAAAAGCTCCAACACCGTACACAAATGGTGAAATAAGGCTGAAAATCGCGAAGGGAAGCTTTTATAGTTTCTGCTCCAGGGATTCCGCACCTGCAGTCCCATAAGCGCACATGCGCTACCGCTTCTGCGGTTTTCACTTAAGGGAACCAACTTCCGCACATGCGCCCCACGCCTCGCACCTGCGGGCTCGTAGGTGCGGTTAACCATCCGCTCCTGCGACTAAGTCCGCTCCTGCGGCCATCATCATGCGTCTGCGATCATCGCACCTGCGGGCATCATCATGCGTCTGCAATCATCGCACCTGCGGTCCCCAATCCGCAGGTGCGGAAACAACAGAAGCAGAAAAATTCTACAACTCCACTCCAATTCCAAACCTTTCGCCAACCATCCAACTCCATCCCGAGGCCCTCGGGACCTCAACCAAACATGCCAACAAGTCACATAACACTATTCAAACTTATTCCAACCTTCGGAACACTCAAAACAACATCGAAACATCAAATCAGCCTCGGATTCAAGCCTAAGGATTTCAAAACTTCCGAATTCCGCAACCGATAAAAAAACCTATCAAACCTCATCTGAATGACCTGAAATTTTTCACACACGCCACAAATGACACAATGAACCTACTCCAATTTCCGAAATCCCAATCTGACCCCGATATCAGGATTTCTACTACCAACCGGGAAACACCAACATTCCAATTTTGTCAATTCAAGCCTAAATCGACCACGGACCTCCAAAATACATTCTGATCACGCTCTTAAGTCCCAAATCACCTAACGAAGCTATCTGAACCATAAAAATCCAATTCCGAGATCATTTACCCTCAAGTCAACTTCCGGTTGACTTTTCCAACTAAATGGCCAACTTAAGAGACTAAGTGTCTCATATCCCTCCCAAAACTACTCCAAACCCGAACCAACCAACACGATACGATGAAATGTAGCTGAACAACACATAAAGAAGTAGAATGGGGAAAACGGGGCTGTAACTCATGAACGACCGGCCGGGTCGTTACAATATCACACATTTCTTACGAAATTTGGGTTTGATATTCAGTTCAAATGCAATTTCCTTGGCAGAAATCATAGCAATTGCAAATCCTTCTTCCCTATATTTGTTAAAATAAGAAATCAAACATTTTCACTTCACATAACATTTTTTTAAGCTTATATATAATCTATTAGGTGTAACAAAAAATTGGGGCCTCCACAAATTTGGGACCTAAAGCAGTTGCTTTACTTGTTTTAGGGAAGGGTCGTCCCTGACAACAATTATGGTTCCAACTTTTTAATACAACATTGATGCTTATTACCATTATGGCGACTTCAATTTCAAGTGAAAAATGCTTCTTCATACAAAAAAAAAATGCTTATATTCTTACAAATATAAGCTAATTAATAGATTTCAGTTTCCTTTTAAGACAACAATCACAGACACAAGAGCAAAAAGACAATACTTGAAATAGAATTCTTGATTTTGCAAATCTATAGAGCTTTATGGTTGAATATCTGTATACGATACTTCAGTGCGCCTGCGCCATGATTCGTGCCTATGTTCTTGCGATAAGTTTCACAGCCCTAATAATCTTTGACTAAACTCGTAGTTGTTTATAAAAATGGATGTTGTCTTTATTTCTTAGGAGTCTCCCATGAATTACTCAATGCAATAATGTTACTAACCCTAATTTTCGAATCATGATTAAAAACTAAACAATACATTTTCAGTTTGACCACGCAACAACGTAAAAATAAATTAAATATATAGGGCAAATACGAAATTGACAAATGACACCATTTTCTCCCTTCATTTTCACATAAGTTTTGATAACTTTCAAACCTAAAGTTATACAATAATTACATAAATTTAATATAGGTCCTAAATAATCTGTAAATCAATTGGTCAATAAATTAATCAGAAGGTACTAAAAATGAAGTATGTTGTATAGTGTGGTACAAATTTAATTACATGTGCAACCCCATTGAGTAAAACCTACCTTTAATTTCCAAAAAAGGAGGACCACTGTTATTAGTGTTAGGGTTTTGTGATAATTTCTTATCTGTTAGGACTGTGTTGTTTGAAAGAATAGAAAAAGACTCCTAAAATGAATAAATCTTTTTCATATGTCTTATCTTTTTCTCGGAAGAAAAATATCCAACACATATAAATTGTGGATCTCTGCTTCTCGCGATAACAATAATAACCTCCATTATGTAGCATTTTAGAGAGTTTTGTTTAGGGTAAACTATTCTCTCAAATTTTTTATTATCTCTCTTGTTATTAGTGATGAATAATATGTAAGTCGATTGACAAAACCATAATAAATCATATGCCTAGTTTAGTATAAAGTTTACCTTGTTAACTTCCGCGTACACCATATTGTTTCGATCCCAACAATTAGTTTGAAGCCTTGAAAAATACCAAAACATATATAAGTATTCTACCTATATCTCAATCAATATAATGAACATGTTTTCCACAAGTAAAGACGTACGTGGTATGACTAGGCTGCCACGTAAGAATAAATTTGCTGCTGATTGGGCCCGTGAAGGGAGCTAAGCTTACATATGGAAGGCAAAGGAGGAAAAATATCAAAGTAAAAGTTGGGGGGCAAAGGGTCCACATAACACAATTATATGCATAAGATGAGGATGGCTCTAGGTAGAAGGTTGATTTCTAACCTCTCTTTTGGATTTATAATATCAGTTGTGAAAACTACACCCATCTATCAGATAAAGATCCAGCAAGTTTTCAATGATTAGTTTAATCAAATAAATTTATGAAGCTTTTGTCCTATATATGTCTAATAATTTCTTTAAAAAGAGCAAACGGTAGAATGTGAGGCACTAACATGCATAACACTTGCTGTCATGAAGTCATTTGGTTCCTAAGATGGCCTATTAAATGGCCAAACATAATAATAATAATAATAATAACAATAATAATAATAATAATTTATGGAAAAGGCACGACATTTGTTGATAGGTTTGCATGAGGTTTTTTAATTAGTGTGATAAACTCAACGTGTGTAGTCATTTTCTCCTTTTTTATGAAGCAATTTCATCTGTC